TTTTGAGTTTTTTGATATTTTTGTTATTAAAAGATGGATAATGTGACTTGGTACTTTAGATCTTTTTATATTTAATGTTATATTTTTATTTATATAATCATATTTATTAATTATATTATATTTTTTATATTTTAATATTTCAAAACGTCTCGCTTCGCTCGGCCAAGAGCCTAATGGCTCGAGCTTTTTGGGACCTTAGCATCTAATGCTTTTTAAATCGCTAGTTGAGTAAATATTATAGACTTATTGAACCCTATAAACTAACTCAATTCTACATCTGATATGAGACTAAATTGGAGTGTCACAATCCCCCTCACTTATGGCTTGATATCCTTGTCAAGATCCGAACAAAACCTTAAATCAAGCTCTAGCATGATACACATGAGGTCTAACTATGCCGTAATGTAACTCTATTCATATCCAAGGATAGTCCTTCCATGCTTGGATGCCTCACTATATCGTTTAACATAAAATTATCTTTTATAATCTAACTCGATGGAACAACTAACTCATTAACTCGATAAAAATATATTATTGATTCATGTGGGACTGGATTAGGGTGTCACACTAACTATAAACATATTGATCATAAGATATAAGTGATTACATGCAAATATGTGGCAGTCCAAGCATATCCAAGGCATTAAAAAGCTACTTCATTGTCTAAGTTCTACTAAGGTTACCAAGTAACCATTCAGGACAACAATAAAAAATAAGTTCCTCCTTTTTTTTTTTCCCTAATCATATTTTATAATGGTAGTCTTTCAGGTCCGTTTTAAGATGATTGTGTCACGACCTGAGCTTAAATCACATGGAGGAAGCCCAAAGATAACAACTCACATACTAATGAAAGCCATTAGACATGCCTAATCTGAGATTAACTATAAGGATCACATATCACCAGCATCAAAATGTTGATATATTCCCGTTGTTAGGCATGATCCTCATCATCAATCATGAATCACAAAAAATGAGTAACACAAAAGCCAACTAGCAGGAACATGTGGTTTGATAAAATTTCACCCGAAAAGCCAAATAGAAGAAACAAAAAGGTTTTGACTCAAAAGTACAATAAACAGCTCAATTTCCAGCCAGACAGTCTTATTCTATATCATATTCCTGATAAAGCCAAATTAGAACATTTTGTTCGCTTCAATTTTAATTTCAACTACAGCTCATCATAAGAGGAAAAAAAATTAACTAACATGAAGATCCAGTTTCTCTCAATGTGAAACCCCAACTGGCCACAAATTCTCTCCAATATTTGATGAAGATAAGATGGATTTGATCAGATTCGATATGGACCAGCGACTACCTGTAATCAGACCCCCTAGACCAAACCTAACCTGGATCACAACACACTCATCATTGTGTAGTCATCACCACACATGTAACGTATCCTCTCTTTCACACAGGACAGACTCAAAAGAATAGATCAACATAGCCGACCAATCCTTTGTACTTAAACATTCCTATGCAATTTTGAACTCTTAGAGTTTCACAGAAATTATATACTCAAGCACACTGAAGAAACATATTGCTTGTTTTTCTGTATACAATCATAGGGCAATCAAATTCTCATGTGGATGTGTACACCATTTTACAACTCCAAATCCATGTTTTCGACGGAGAAAAAGGAAATGAGTTATTCCTCCCCAGAAGATGCTGCGTTGATCCTTGCTATCTCGGACAAATTAAACCTCACAACCATCAAAAAATACTAGGCAGAACGAACAGTGATACACCGATCAATACAAAGGACAACCTCAAATCCAGTACCAAAACGAATGCAACACCACAATAAATGTACCTTAAACCCTAATAGTTCAAAAACAACAACGATTTTTCCCCAACAAAAAGAATATCAATCGCACGAGCAAAAAGAGCATACAGTTCACAAAGATCCCATTATCAAATATACTCCTCAAGCGCCGACGTGTACAACGTTTACGGCTCAAACTACACGACTGGGAGAGAAGGCGACGAGTTATTTCTGCCTAGAGACGCTTAGACGATCCCTTTGATCTCCAAGAAATAAAGCCTCACAACCATCGAAAAGTACTCGGCAGAAAGAGCAGGGAAACACCAATCGAGACATGGAAAAACCCTAAACTAGCCACCGAAAAGAATGCAACACCGCAAAAAATACCTTAAAACCCCAACTCCGAACAGCTAAAAAAAGCAAAACCTTTACTCCAAGTCTCACTCGCACAAGCAAACGAGCATACAGTGCACAAAGATCTTATCGTCAAAATAAATCAGAACAAAGAGTAGAACGTCAAAAATCCCAGCGATGAACACTCGGGAAAAGCGCTAAAACCTCGACCTCGAGGAATTGAAGCCCTCCTCGGTGTCTCGATGATCCTTCCCAAGGAAACCCTAGGGAGAGCAATGTGCCAGAAGATCTTCGAATTGAGCCAAAACGGGTTCGGCCGTGTTTGTGTCGGTCGGACGCGACACCGTTCTGAGCTTTTTTATGGGAGCTAATATTTATCATTCCCTTAAACAATTTTTAATAAAATAATATTTTAATAATTACAGTATCTCTAATTATAATTTTTTACATATAAATATATATATATATGAATTTATTTAAATATTATTTTTTTTTCCAAAGAGTAAGTGACAAAGATGAGATTTGATCATAGAACCTTGTGATAAATAATCAAGGTTTTCCTAGCCAAGATAGCTAATACCTTTCCCAACATATAGTAAATTGGATTGGTACATCTCAATATTTTAAATTTTATATATCATTCCAACTAATATCCATCTATTACATTTATGGCAATTACTAGTAATTATAGTTGTCATTAAATCAAAATTTAAACACTAAAAATATAAGATAGTATAAATATTTATTACATTTATCAAGATTTTAAGATAGTATAAATATCAATTTGTGTTTCAATATAATTATATTAATAATCAACTAGTGGAAATAAATACCTATGATAAATCTGTAAGCTTTTGAGTTTTGCAGGGATAATAATGCCAAACTTGAATTTAAAGAAATAGATATGAAAATTAGTAACTTTAGAGGAATCTAAATTGTGTATATATATATATACATATATATATATATATACATATATATACATATATATATATATATATATATATATATATATATATATATATACATATACATATACATATACATATACATATACATATACATATACATATACATATACATATACATATACATATACATATGTATGTATGTATATATATATATATATATAAATATATATATATATATACATACATACATATGTATATGTATATGTATATATGTATATGTATGTATATATACATATATATACATACATACATA